AAGGCTCTTTTATAAGCAAAAAAGAAATTATGTTGTGATGTTCAGGGCTTATGATTGAGCCAAAGGAAAACCTTTTGACTCCATCTCGGGAACTCACGTGTGCTGTATTCAGCACACAGTCTAGATGAAGATGCCAAGTTCTTTCTCAGGCCTTTGTGCCACCTAGTACTTCAACTATTGCTTCAATTGTTTGGTTTAAAGCAGTCCTGTCAGTTTAAGATTTAAATCAACCAATTTTAAAAACTCCATTTCCTAGTAGGGTATCACTTGAAGAGTAAACAGGTTTAATGGTCTTGAAATTCTTAAAAGCTCTTGTAAAATATCTGAAAGCTTTTATCTTGCTTGGTTGAGGCTTGTAAGGGTTTTCTCAGCTCTTTTATCTTGCTTGGTTGAGGCTTGTAAGGGGTTTCTCAGAAAGTGAGTTTCTCCCTTGCTACCCAATTGCACATAAAGTGGTATCTTCTAGTCTCAGTTTATTTACAGCTTTTGCTAAACAATACAATAAAATGGACAGTAAAATTATGTATAATGTAGTAAAATCATAACTTACAGTTTTTGCTGAAGGCATGCAAAAAAAAAGTGTTGTCAACTATACAACATAAACAAATGGGAGAGGAACAGAGGGATTTTTTTATTAGTTTCTTGAACCTATAGTATGTCTTACCCTCACCATAGTGGCTCCAGTATATTCAGATAGAAGTCATATTTTCCAGTGGATTGTGCATCTAATGAATTTCCTCTTTCAGTATACTCCTGGGATTTTTTTGCACAGCAGCCAGGCGAACAGCACAGTGGCTGCTATTTTTGCACCCTCCTCCCCCTCCCCCTTCCCCTTCCCATCCACCAAAGATAGCACCCAGAGCTGGTGCCCCAGTCATCCCCCCTTAGTTATGTTGCTATCCATCAAGGCAGGGTGGTTCTTTCATATTCCATTTATGTAGGAGGAATTAAAGTAAGAATCCTTGAAGGATGCTCTGCACAAGCTTTTTTTGTCACTGAAGTGAGTCCATCTGGCAGAGATATTCAGGGTCACTACAGACTTCCTGAATCACGTTTATGTATCCTTCAGTCAGGAAATCTTGTTCCAAGGTGTTCCACCACATCCTTCCTCCCTAGGTGATGTGATTTATCACCTATTTGAAGCAAATCAGAATGAAGTTCTAGCTGGTATCAAAATACAGAACAGGGGACTCCCAGGCTTTTTAAAGAATGCTTTCTCCATTCCTGGGACTGGAATCTTCTCTAGAGAGAATGAATGACCATCACCTTGTCTTTGAGTCCCATATTAGTCAGTTAGGTAAAGAGAGAAAAATGAAAACCTGATTTTGACAGGAACAGCCAAAATTAGGAAATCCTATTTAAGAAACTTGATGCACTGACCTGTAGGCTTTCCCTGCCCTTTCTGGTATTGTATGACTTATTTTCCAATGTCTGATCTACCACAACAGTCTCAAAAATATATCAGTCAGGAGTTGCTAGTGATTCCAAAATTGACAATTCACAAGGTCTAACTGAATCATTAATAATTATGCTGCTTCATACTTGCAAGCATCTCATGTTCAAACAGTACTGTAATGTGAAAGGCTTTATTTGCCTAGTATAACTTCACAACAACTTTTCTACATCCTTGTGGATTCTAAAATGTGTTATACAGTCTACTGTACAATTAAGCTTGGCTAAAAATATGTCTTGAATAATATTAAATAGGGAAACATCAGCCCTAAAAGAGGCATAACATAATGCTGTACTTCCTTAGCCAGATTCCAATGGAAACATTAACTTCTGTACCTCCAAAACAATCTCTCTTTTTTCCATAAAGTCTAGCAGATGCTTGAAGAGTTTCAGTGATTCTCAGACAGATTTTCATATATGATCAGGGGAATAGCATTTCCCCTTCAAGAATCTAAATATCTTTTTAGCTGAATAAATGCAAAAAATGCTAGCTATGTACAGGTAGCTATTCTGTTACCCCTGCAATGATCCTGCCTTGAGCAGAGGGCTAGACTAGATGGCCTCATAAGGTCCCTTCCAGCCCTACTGTCCTATGATTCTAATGATCCTAGGTATGTATGCATGTGCAGGGGCACACTGAACATTTTCCAGTGGATTGTGCATCTAATGTGATTGGAGATTTGGATGGAAATACAGACAGTAACAAAGGTACCTGTTTTCAATGTCTCACCTATACAAGGAATGATGGAGGGGAGAGTTGTACCATGGCCACCATGGTAGTGCACCATATATATTTTTGGTACATCTCATAAATCCTGCCCAGTCTAGATCTGGTATTGTTGGGTAGATAGCTGCAAATAGAAATTACACCTGTAACATGACTCAATATTTCCTCATTTGGTTTGTGAAATGGAAGCATCCCCCTGATGGATATGAAGAATGTTGTGGAGACAAACTAAAAGTCATCTTTGATCAACCTCCAGCCCCTATCCTATATTTGTGTTCTAAAGGGGCTTTGGGATTACAATCTTTGGCTGCCTATACACATGCTCAGGAGTGAGGAGAGGGGGCTGTTTTAATTAGAGCAGTTCCCAAACAGCTGCTGTAATTAAAATGGCTAACCATCACATGTATTAAGCCCCTGTATGTTTCAAAATAGCCACAGGATGCTTTATCTAAAGCTCAATTGACAAGGTTTAGATAAAATGCCTGGTGGCCATTTTGAAATATGCAGAGGCTTAATACACATGACAGTGAGGGAACACTAAAGCATTCAAATTAAAACATAGCAGACTTGATTAATTGAGTCTGCTCCAACACATTCTAGTTAGAATGTGAATGAAGACATCTATGGGCACCTTTGTGCTTAAGAGCATGCCCCTCAGAGAAAGGCATTAGAGACTCTGGCCACATCTACACAAGATGCTGACTGTGCAGTAGCCCATGACTACCATGCAGTAGCATCACATGGCAGAAAGCATGATGCGATGCTGCTGCGCAGTAGTTTTGGGCTACTGCACAGGCAGCATCATGAAAAAGCCGTTTGGTGATGCTACTGCACAGTAGGGCTGTGTGAAGTTTCAGTCCCTGATTCGATTGGGAGGAGATTCGGCCCAATTCGGTGGCTGAATCTCTGAATCCGAATCGAATCAGAGGACCCTTTAATTTCTCAGAATTTCTCAAATCGAAACCCTCTGAATTGATTTGGAGAGATTTGGAGATTCAGACATAGAGACAGATTTAAATGTTTTTTCTACATACTTCTAGGTAGCCAGCAGGTGAGTGCTGCGATGCTTGGGTGCATGGAGTGTCCCACAGAAGCATGGGGGGCTCCCCAGCACACTCAGCAGCAGACCCAGAAGTGGACCAGAAGCACTTCTGGTCCACTTCCAGGTCTGCCGGGAAGCACATGGGGGGGGTCACGACTCCCCAGCTCAGTGAATGGTGCCTCCTGACGGGGGGCACCTGGGGTCCCCCTGAGGCCAATCACTGAGCCAGGAAGACACAGGGGGTCCCACCAGCGCACTTCTGGGTCTGCCAGGAAATACTTCCAGTCCACTTCTGGGTTTGCCACTGAGCATATGGAAGGCCCCCCCCACCCATGGGACGCTCCATGAGCCCCAGCATTGCAGAGTTCATGAGCCACGCCTGCTACCTCAAGGTATGCAGAAAAAACTTTCAAAGGTGTGTCTATGTCTGAATCGCTGATTCTCCAAATCAGCATCGAGTCTTCAGATTCGGCCAAATCAAATCGGGGACAGCGATCCAAATCAACGACTCGAATCACTGACCTGATTCGGGCCAAATCTGAATAGAATAGGGCCCGCTTCGCACACCCCTACTGCACAGCAGTGACAGTCAGTGTCTCATTTAGATACAGCCACTGAGTCTAGTCTGGGTGGAGATATGCTGCCATAAGTTTTTTAGGAAACTAGGGTTGTAGGTGTTTTCAAGGAGATGCCTTCTGTGAGGCCTCTGGTCAGAAAACCCTGTTTTTGTCTTTTATAACTGTATCCAGTTTCCCATCTCTGAGGAATCCTCTGGTCTGAGGTAAGTTTACTAAAAAAGGTTGTGATTAAGTAACTCTGTTAGTAAGTCTTGGAATTTCTGAACTCTACTCAGTATGTATTACAGCTTAGTTTCAGAAAGTGCACTTGTGTGTTGTGTTTATAAGTGGTCTTCCCAAATTGAATGGACTATACCCTGATGCCAGTGAGAGGCTTAATCTGGTTCAGTTTGCAGCAGCTTACTTATTTAAGAGGTCCTTGACACAGGCAGCATTTTATAACAAGGTTTTGTAATCTGCATATGCTGCCATTAATTGTGGATGAGGTCCAAAATATTGACCTTGATCTAGACAATCACCAAACCTTGGCTTCTTGAAAAATTTCCTTTTCCCCCATAACAAGCTTATTCATAATTCAAGTGATGACCACATCCTCTCCAGTTTTTCAGGAAGACGGCAAAATGCTCTCCAAAAAATACCATCAGCTTTGGGATTATTTTTCTACAGAGTCCCAGTGGATTGATCTGCAATGCCTACTGCAAGGCTTATATAATTTTTCAGGCCTTTGGGGAAACATAAAGAGAGCCTTGAAGCAGCAGTGTTCTGTTATCAGTTGTAAAATCTTATTTTCCAAATCTAGGAAGCAAAATTTCATGTTAAATACAACAAAATACTAAGTTATACATATATAAAATATATGTTTTAAATAATATAACAAGTAAAGTTATTTATACATAAAATATAATTTTAAAAATAATAAATTGGAACTGCTGTAAAATTTGGGCAGCTTCTAAGTCCACCAAACACAGCAGTGTCCCTTTAAATTAATAGTGATGAAATTTAGGACAGGAGAGTTCCACAACATGGGTTTGGTTAATAGCAAATAAAATCGAAAAGTGTTACAATTAAGTATGCAAAATAATGCTTCTTCAGTTTATTTTTAGTAAAGGATTTTTTTAATGATGCAGATAAATCAAGAACCTGAGGTCCAGTATTTAAAATGTACGCTATTTTTTGTCTCTGTTCTTTTCCCCTACTGCAGCTCCAGGAAGAATGCATGCAATAGTTCAGAGCCAAATGATACAAAGAAGCCAGCAGACCTGATTGGTCAGGAAGTAATACTGGTTTTCTTTCTTTTGCTCCTTATGGTTTGGTTTCTGAATCGGGAGTTTGAAGTCAGTTACCGCCTCCTCTACCATGGAGATGTAGAAGCTGATCTTCATCGTACCAAAATACAGAGCATGAGGGATCAGGCTGACTGGTTGTTAAGGAATATTATTCCATATCATGTGGCAGAGCAGTTGAAGGTCTCTCAGAGTTACTCCAAAAACCACGACAGTGGTGGAGTAATTTTTGCTAGTATTGTGAACTTCAGTGAGTTCTATGAGGAGAACTATGAGGGAGGCAAGGAGTGCTACCGAGTCCTGAATGAACTGATCGGGGACTTTGATGAACTGCTGAGCAAACCACATTACAGCAGCATTGAGAAAATCAAAACAATTGGGGCAACATACATGGCAGCTTCAGGACTAAACACCTCTCAGTCTCAGGATAACAATCATCCACACGGACATTTGCAAACCCTTTTTGAATTTGCCAAAGAAATGATGAGAGTGGTAGATGACTTCAACAACAACATGCTCTGGTTTAATTTTAAACTTCGTATTGGCTTTAACCATGGCCCCCTCACTGCTGGGGTCATTGGCACCACCAAGTTGTTATATGACATTTGGGGTGATACCGTTAACATTGCTAGCAGGATGGACACTACTGGAGTGGAGTGTCGGATACAGGTGAGTGAAGAGAGCTACCGTGTCCTAAACAAGATGGGGTATAACTTTGATTATAGGGGGACAGTCAATGTGAAGGGGAAGGGTCAAATGAAGACATACCTTTACCCAAAATGCATGGACAATGGGATTGTGCCGCATCACCAGTTGTCTATATCTCCAGACATTCGAGTTCAAGTGGATGGCAGCATCGGGCGGTCTCCAACGGATGAGATTGCTAATCTGGTGCCTTCTGTACAGAATTCTGACAAGATATCTCATAGCTCAGATAACAGCTCAGAACCCAAGGACATGCTTCCTTCCTCCAAAAGGCTCCAGAAAGATTCAGTGAAAGCAGAAGACAGGTGCAGGTTTGGAAAAGCTGTAGAGAAAAATAACTGTGAGGAGGCAGGAACCGAGGAGGCAAATGAATTGACAAAGTTAAATATCTCTAAGAGTGTATGATGCAGTGGCAGAGAGCTGCATGGTGTGCTCTGTCCATAGAAACACAAAGACATTTGCAGTTGGCTGTTTTCTTTTTTTGAAGAAAGACATTCTCAATGCCTGGGTTGTACATTTGTTTTCCTTTCTGTACCTGATGCTGTGTAGATCACAGTTCTTCAGGGCTCATTTTCATCCATCTTTCCTCCATGCCCCTTAACCCTCACCCCAAACTCCCCAGCTTCCTGTGTAAACATCTTTTAGCTGAGAGGAGGATATTAAGTGCCTTCAGATATACTCCATTGAACTCCCTATCAAGGTACAGAAGCCCAAAATAAAATTATAGCTTTGGGTATCTCTAATTTTAAAAGAAAAGTTGTGGTTAAGATAACATTTTTATTATTGTTTCCTGCAAAACACTTTTTTTGGATAATGCAACTCCTTGGGTTTTTTATATCTGTATGAATAATATTTTACTCTTATCAGACCTTTTCTGTGTAAATACACAGACAGAATGTATGTGTATCTACCATATGAGACTGAGATAAAAAGTGCCAGTAATGTACCACATGAGGATGTTTTTCACAGATTCACAGAAGTTTAGGGCTGGAAGAGGGGGTGACAAAATTTTGCTTGTGTTGGGCTGGAGGAAGAGTTGAGTTCCACAGTGGCTCAGTGTTTGGACACAGCAAGCCAGTCAGCTGCTGTTAACTTCAATCTCCTTTACAATTGCTTTGATCAAACGTAGGTGTCATTGTGTACTTTGGATATATTGCTTTCTTTACATCCAGCAGGTCATTGATATGTGGGTATGGAAGAAGGATTTGGACTTCACCAGCTCTCAGAATAGGGTTCCAAAAGCAGATTACTGTTAAAATTTCTACAATCCAAGTCTCAGGCATTTTCATTTTGCCCCCTACCCCATTGGAATTTGTGAGGTTCTAGGTCAAGCTGGTATCCTAAAGCTGGTCTAGTTTGAGAGAGAAAATATAAATGTTCTGGGGTTACATTGTATTTATTTATTTATTTATAATTCTATTTTTTTTATTTTGTTTTTGAGAAGGTTTTAGGATTGACAGGGGTGGTAATTAGTGTAATGAAAAGTAATTAGATATCCATTAGTGTTTCATCCTTCAAACTACCAATCACTCTGAGGATGTTACCTGGGTAATATTTGTTTCAAAACTGGTGAGACCATCAAAGACTCCAAATGCAGGCTGATTCTGATAAAACCCAGCTTCCCTCCTGAACCAAATTAATGGTGCTGTACAGTATTTTTCAGAATTTGCCCCTATACTTTGCTTTTGAAGCAGGGAATATAATGCTTCCCATGTGCCTGCTAAAGCAGGAATCAGGATGGAGTCTCTTTGTCATGAGCTGAGGAGCACAAGAATATACTAATCCTACAACAGACTTTGTGTTGCAGACCCTGGTGTCTGCAGAAAAGGACATAAGTGGGAATCTGTGTGGACATAGGGTCTGTCTGCACAGAGCAATTGCAGGATAGGGGGTTTAGATTAATAGACTGTAAGGCCGGGACCTCAGAAGATCATTGAGTCCAGCCCCCTGCACCAAGCAGGAAAGATAACTGAGGGTCAGGTGACCCCAGCAAGGTGACTGTCTAATCTCCTATTTGCCTCTTCCATAGTTTAGGACACTTATTTCTGTTTTTATTAACTGAATGACCCACTTTGGATAACATTAAACATTGTAAAGTTCAATTTAGACAAATACTAGCTGCATCAAATAATATTTATCCCCAAATAAATTCATTGGCTGTGAGAAATATGGTGACATGGGGAAATGCAGAGCTGTTCTGCCTGCATGTTCATATTTTTAAATTACTTTCCGTCTTCAGTCAGAAGTGATTTAACACAGAAACTATAATATATTTACACTTACTACTTTTTGTTCCTAATGTGACTCTAGAGTTAATATCATAAAAAGAGCTGCAACTTGCACTTAACTGTTTGAGATGCTATCTGCAGTCCACCTTTAGTACCAGCTTCTTAAGTTTTTCTCATATTTAAATGTACAGGGTTTGGGTTTTGGATACCATTTTTATTAAACATTATTCTATATACTCTTGTTACAATAACAGCTCTTTTTGTGTGTCAAAAATCCTTGGTTGCCATGGTAGCTGTTTAACATGACTGAAGTGTTAAAACTTCCAGCAATGAACAACATCAAAAAACCTATACTGGGCATTTAACCTCCACCCTCATACAGAGAATACTTTATGCCTGATTTTGATAGTTGCTGCCAAGCAACAATATCATAGTTTTTTGTTGGGTTTTGGTTTTTGGTTTTTGTTTTGGGGGGGGGGGGGGGGTCTTAGTGTGAAGGTGCATAACATCCTTCATTGTCAGTAACTATAAATTTTGTCTTTTTTTTTCTTCTGTGTACTTCCACCTTTAAGAATAGTGTAATGCACTCGGAGACGTACTCCTAGAATCATCTTCAGAATTTTTGTTTCAGTTTCTTAAATAATGACTGTTGCTTTTCTTCTAGTAGAGAAGTTGGCATTGTCCGAAATTGTTTACATGCTAGAGTATTATGTCTCTTGAAGTTGCTACATCCCTTTTTCACCCCATTTTTCTTTCTGATTTTGATGGCCCAGGTAGGTCCAGTGATTAAATGGTATTACTCGTATTACTGGTATGAAATAGTAGTTAATTTTAGCAGTGTTAGCAGCTGAGCCATTGAGCTGTGACCATGTCTTATTTCTAACTTCAAATACCATGCAATTATTATACTTCTACCCATCACAATCTTGCATCTACAAGAGATATACACACTGAAACTAGATGCAAGGGAACAGTGTAGTCCAGGGATTGGAATAGGACCTGCCACTGACAGAACCTGTTTTTAATTATTACAGTAGTTATTTTTCAGTACAAAGGCTTACAAAATGAATAAAGCCAGTAGTTAGTTACTGTGTTTTACCACATGTGTATTGTTAGTCTTCTGGTAACATCAGAGTACTGAAATGGTTGCATAACTTAGTAGTATCATGGCCACCTTTTCTTGTGCCATTATGCAAGTAAAATAGCTGAGGACAGAAATATGTCTGGGCTCTGAAAACAAGAGATGTTCTCTGTTCTTGAGCTGGATTTGTTCTGTGTAGTAATAATATCTGGGTTAAGTGCAGCTAACATTATTCGGCTTCAAAATTTAATGTGTGTGAATAGTGTACCTCTGTTAGCTTATTGTCATGAGAATGACAGCACCTTCACTTCCTCATCTCAGAGATCTTGAAATTTTGTATGCAATTCAGAAATAAAGTTATCCCTGTAATAGTTTTAATGGGTGAGAATTTTTAAGGCTCAAAGGACAGCTAAAGGTCCTTCTGTTGAAGTCAATGGGAGGTGCATACCAAACTCTCATTTGTGCCTTTGAAAAGTTGTGCCAGTCGTTGCATAAATAGGGGCTCTGTGGGTGTTCTTAAAAACAGTGTCTCTGTGCCTCAGAGTCAAAAAGACAGTCTGTGTCGCACATTTGCTTGCAGTAGGTTAGTATAAAAGATTTTTACAGAATACTTTGTGTCTGATCTGCTCTTTGCACCATAGTTTTAAAAGAAACACAAACAATGTAAAAAATCTTTTGGCCATGTAACCTTAAATGTATATTACAAAAAAGTTAGTGCCTTGTTTTCTCTTTTCTATATTTTAAAATGAGTTAAGGCAGATTACTGCAGAATCACTAAGAAAAAAAAAAAGGTTGTTAAATGTTTTCAAGCCTGGATGTTGTTCTTCAGCCATCAGTCTTTTTTGAGTGGTGCTAGATTTTAGACGGTGGAGGAAGATGCAACCTTTCCTTAATCTTCTGGTGATCTGATACAGTTGGTCTGTAAGACAAAACTGATTGGCTCCTTATTCAGTGCAGCTAGTGCTAAAGATGCTAGCTGCTAGTCAGCAGCTCCTGCTTTCCCCCTAATATTCTTAGTCCAGACCTAACCTTGGAATTTAATGGGGCTTTGAGATGGCATAGGATAGAGACAGGTTGATGGAGTTGTAAGAAAGGGCTAAACAACCACATCCCTCACTCTCCTTTTGCTTAACACTAATTTGCCAACACTGACAGAGCTTCGCAGAAAGCATTACCTCTGAATCTGGACATGGTTCACTATAGAAAAGAGGGATCTGTGAGGAAAGAGAAAAAGAAAGTTTAGCAAAAATAAACTACTTCCAAGTGTGTGAAGACTTATCACTGGATTGAGGAAAGTCTTTTAGGGTGCCTGTAAACTTTAGTATTTTAAAATCACATAACTTAAATTTGTTTCCTTAACTTCCTTTGATACTGAATTTTCAAATGATTTATAATGACAGGACAAATGTCAAATATCATATGCTGCTCCCATGTAAAATACGGAAGGTGAATGATTGTTCTTAAATAGTTGATGTCTTTATTTTGCTCTGTTGCAAAGCATGTGCAAAAAGTACCAATGAGAGATTATAAATATGCATGCATGAAGTTGGTTGTAACCTTATCAAATTTTTGTCTAGGATTTTTTGCCTGGTTTCAAGATTTTCTGTTTTCTTTCCTTTCGGCTGCAATCTTCTGTATTATGCATGAAAGGATATGTGGAGGGGCATTTCCCACCAGCATTGAATTATATTTTCTATTTTAACAGCAGTATTTTAATTGCTTTGGTGCCAGATCATGTATTCATAAAGAACTTTTTTCCTCCAGCCTGTCTTCACTACTGTTTTAGTCTCTAGCTGGACTCTCTTGTTTAATAGGAATTATTTGCCGTGTTCTTTTGTTAATGCTAATTTGTCCAGGCACAATTTTACTTCTGTACTGTTCATTTCCTATCCTTTTTATTCCTTACCTCACTTTGAGCTGCATTTCTGCAGTTATAGAACAACATCACATCAAAATTGTTCAGTTGGTTATTGCATTCTCTTTATGAAGAATATATTTGGCCTCACAACATAAAAACACTAGAGTATGACACTAAGTCTGAGCAAATGCAATATGAGAGAGTGTAACATGAAGTGAAATTGCTAGCGGCATGAAATCTCATTGAAGCAAAGTTCAGATGGGCCCATGTTAACAAAAGCCTTCTCAAGGAACCTGCAAAGACAAACATACAATATGAAACATCTACAGAAAGTGCAAGCTTTGTGTCATAGTGTTTGAGACTCCCCATATTTGATCACTTCATTCCCAGTCAATGAAATACGTAATGCTGCTTCAGTTTCCCATCTGTAGAAGAAAAGGTAATAAAGCTTCAGAAAAACATATCCGTTTTCTACAGCAGATGTGCCTAAACCATAGCATGTATAAACTCACTGATGACATGATGATGGTTCTCCCTTTCCAGCAATTTAATTTAATTAAGAACAGCTAAAAATACATTAAATTCTTATAGCCATTTTTTGTAGATACTACAGGGCTGTCTTATGACTATGAATAGAGTGGAGAGGACTTTCATATTTACAAGCAAGAAAGGAAGAGGGTCCATATGGTGAAAAAATTAAGCATCACAGTTCTACAGCATAGTAACAAGGTAAAACAGTTCCGCTCTTCGGTTACATATGCAGCCAGGAAGATGGACAAAACTGGACCTCAGAACATTTTTGAGACTGAACTAATAATAACTTTGACAGTTGAAATGTGCAGAGTGTTTTTGAAGGAAACTGCAGGGAACAGGCTGTTATAGTCCAGAAAAATACTTTTTCAACTCTCTCCACTGCTATTCTCTAGACTATAATGGAATATTTTTCTTTTTTTGGTTCTGGGGCAGCATCCCACTGAGTAAATCCAAATGGCAATGCAGTATTACTACGAATATTCACTAGTCATGGCTCTGAAGATTTCAACATCCCTATAGTACTAAAAATCATAAATTATACACTGTATTTTCAAAAAATCATATCCATTCACCAAATAAATACCTACAGACATATTATATACCTGTAGTTTTATTCAACTGGCCCATTGTCTGAGATTTCCTCAGTTAAGAAATGCAGTATCACGCACAAGGTTCAAAAATCAGTGGATTAATGTAAAAGAAAGAGGAAACCTACTCTGCTTGTATAAATATGGAAGAACCAGAGTAACAGTGTTCTAAGACACTCCCTCTCATCATATAAGCAAGCATATCCCAAGAGAAAAGTTATACAAGCACATGCACACATCTTAAGTCAGCAAGCATAGGCTGAGGATAAGATGTGCCACAAGCTGACAGGAGCTAGAAATCTGTTGAATCTGATGTCAGCCACAAGAGCTAAAAATCTGTTGAATCTGATAAGTCAGCCACTTAAATACAGAGTATATTGTTTTGATGTCTTTTTAAACTTTATGCCACCCTTGAAAGGAACTGAGGTCCTGCTAATGTGATGGTGAACAATAACATGAGTACATGACATGACATACTAAACTCAACAAAATGCCTGGAAAACAGAGAAGAGAAACATAATCAGATGTCTAGTTCTTTTAAAGACTGAGTTTTATTCATAAGCTTTATTTTCCCTGCTTGTAAAATTTAAGTCAAATATGAATCTCTTTTATGCTAAAGCCCCATAATACCCTCTCTGTTAGGGTAATGGGGCCTTAGAGTTAACGTATGCTATGGTAATGTAATTTATACCCATTTTCAAGCCCCTTGGTCCTCCCAAAGTGCTGTGATGGCTACTTAGTATCAGTGAGTTTCAGGACCCCAAAACATACTTTCTTTGCTTTTACTAATGTTGTTTAAAGGAGGCCACTGAGCAAGTTTTTGATAGACTCAAACAGATTCCAAAATGCAACATTTTTTTTACCAGCCATTTAATGTATTATGGGATTGAGAAAAAGGATGTACATACAGGTGGTATCACTTGGGTGCCTTCAGAGGAAAAAGAATTGAACTCTAGGAGAAAAAAAAGTTTAGGTATTTATTTTTAAAGTCTTTGCCAGGATTAAATTTCTCATCATGTCTGCTGTTAACAGAGATGGCTGCTAATTTATACTTCCATGCTTAAATGGTATGTATGCAAATGTTCCTTCTTAGTAGCTAAGGAGAGATGTCTCCACTTGCAGTTAGGATGGTATTTTGAAAAGGGACTGTTAGAGAAAGATACTTAACCCTTTGTCCCTTTGTTTTACTTGCAGAATTTTAAACATTCCTGGTTTGCCTAATGGTTTGCCTGATCCAAGCCCACTGAAGTCAATAAGAAATTAATTTTATTTATTGACTTCAATGTGCTTTGCTTCAAACCCAAAATGAGGAAAAGAAATAGAGGTAATGCATTTTAAAGCAAACTATGCCACATGCAGTGCATTTAATGCCTTCAACAGCAGCTGCTTTATTTGAACAGCTTCTAATCATAAACCAATGCAGGGGAGTGGGTCATTTGAGTTTACCAGTTACTGAAAGCTGTCCTACAGCTAGTGTCTGTTCTTTGCAACTTAGCCTTGACCCAGCTGTGCATGATCTGCTTTGTTCTTTCTTTGTTTTTGTGGTTTGCTCTAATAGCACTTATTTTGATCTTTAGAAAGACAATGTTTGGTGAATCTTAAAAACTGCACAGAAAGAAATGACTTTGGAAAGATTCTTTTAAATTTTAGTTTTTGGCCATGTGTTCTAACTGGTTTATATTTCATGGCTACCATCAGCAACTTGAATTATGGTTTCCATTATTATGGGTAGGTCAGAAGGTATATAAACATTCACAAACCAGAGCTGAAAAACTCCTATCAACTCTTTAGGCCATGACTCAGTTCACACTTCTACTGTATGCAAGTGACATCAAAGCAATGGGACTTTCTCAAATTCCCTTCACACTCTATTGCAGTATCTTTTCTAATAATTTCAATTATTTTTAGATGTTGCACAAATACTTGTTTACAATTTGAAAACAAATTCTAACCCATGAATAGTTGGAAGATGCACTACAATTAACATGGATACATGAGTGCATGTGTACACGTTATGAAATACTGCCCCTACTGAAACCAACAAAACTTGCCATTGACTTCAGTAGGGCCAGAATTTCACCCATTATATGGTCAGTATTTATAGATTTAATTCCATCTTTCTGTTTCCTTATGAAAGTTGCCAAATCCTAAGGGCTAGAACCATTCTACAATATTTTGGGGGGCCTTTTCTAAACCATTTCCCAAAGCAATACCTTCTGCAGCACCCAGCACTGCTTCAGACTTGACAACAGCCCTTCCAATGCTAACAATGTTTTTCTATTAACAGGTACTGGTGTAACAACCCACACTTACTAAAGAAACTTTCACCAAAATTTAACTTCTCATATTACTACCACAGCAGTTTTCCAAGGCCATGTTATGTATATGCAGCACTGGGGACTCTCATAACATGCTTTGGGAGAACAGCTTTACATTTCAGAAGTAATAAATCAAAAGCCAAGAGCCTTAACTAGTCCTAACAGCTGTTTAAAGACGGTGGCAGATTCATAAGGAAGGTTGGACGGAATTTGCCTACATGATAAATTCTATTTCTGGGGTGGTGATAACCATATTCTAGGCTGATAAACCCCTTGGCCAAAATTACTGAATTAACAGGGAGTAGATGGAAGTTATTAATGCCCTCCCTGCATACTGGCCATCTGGGCAGGATAAACACCACACTCCCACATCCAATGTGATCTGTTCTGTATTGCGTGATCTGTTCTAAAGCTTTTAAGGCAAACAAGTTGCATATAATTGGAAAAAATAACTATGTATTCCTCAAGAGCAAAGTGAAGAAGCTATAGAAAGGGTAGAAGCAGTTGGGTCAATAGGATGGGGAAGGAGGGGAAAGTTGAGGTAGCCTGGTTTGCTATAGGCATATGGATGTCGCACTTGGAGAGGAGTAGCTAAGCAGAAAACGGATTTGTATGCTATAGAGTCATTATGCAAATTGGACACATCTCAGCCAATAAGAACAAGGAAATGTACATAGAGTACTGTTGTGGTTCATTAACTGTGCTGCTTCCCCTAGCCCTGATTGAGAAAATTATCCTTCAGCATAATTACTCCCAATTGAGTTTGTAATAACGTCTGCCCTTTTCAGGGTTTGGTTTGTTTTTTAAATTTTTTATGTGAGCAATTTTGAGCTAGCAATTGAAATTGTGCATTATAAACTCAGATGCAACTATCCTGTTTCCAGAGCTGAGGGAAGGCTGTGGTTGTTTAGAGGGTGTTTTGTACTTTGGTGTATACAGTATTATATATATATGACACTAACTAAGCAATTCCTATGCAGAGGGAGCTATCCTCACTGGCTGGGGTGTGACAGGACTGATTATAAAGAGCCTGAAATAGATACTTTTTAATGTTAGAAAAACAAAATCTATGAGAGAGTTCATTTGGTTTCGCAGATAATTATGATTTTTTGCAAAGATATTTCTTTTCAAATGCCTGCTTAAAGTTCCTACTTGGCAGTGTTGTGTACTTGGAGGTTGATGTCAATCCTGTGCTGTTATATGCTTTCTTAAAAGCTGATGTTACTACAGTGTTAGCCGAGGCATTGTAGCACTGCCTGTCCAGCCCCCAAAGCATGTGGAAACAGCACAAAAGTATTAGCTATTTATTGAACACTTTCCAGTTAAAACAGGGAACATTTTTTAAAGTATCCCAGTTTCCTGCAAGGTGACTTTAATCATCATCATGCCTTTGCTTTTTCCCCCCATCCCCAGCACACTATAATTACACTGCATTCTCCTCTCCCCTTTGCAAAAAGAAGAAATAGCCTGTTTACAAACACTTCTGTTGGGAAGTTTGGAACTTCCACCAAGTTATTCTTCCTAGGGGAGGTTGCTTCCTTTCAACAGCTTATTTGTAAATATTATGCCTATGCTTTGTTGACAAAACAGAAATGGAAAAAAGTTGTATCTGTGAAATATTAAGCTATATATGTATATAGATTTAACTGCATATTATCTTTGACTCATTACTACAGATCTGTAATCGTATATTAAACTGTTTTACTGTATCACAGAACATTTCACGCTATCTTAGATGTAGAAAAATTGGGAAAGTAATTCACAATACAGTATGTCAACTTGAAATTTGTTTGCTTTTTTATTTTTGCTTCAGCACAACATTAAATGGAATCTGCCATTTGCACAATGTTTCAAAGAAAAATGGTTTGAAACACGAGTTCTTGGTCCCTTTATTTACTGGATATTGGCTCTTCACACTAGGTCTTTATGAAAGGTTATAAAACTGGTCACTTCATTTTGGGGGGTAGGATGTTGGTGAAGAATTTTACAATTCTAATTTTTTTTTAAATGACTTAATTGCTTACTTGCTTTTTAATGCTATTCAACTGTTGTGAGTTTGCTGTGCTCAGCTGACAGTGGTCCTAGAACAGTGCTTCTGTTGCTAATAATCCTAGTAGAAAATTAAGAAAAGGGGCCACATTGATGTCAGCTTCCATGGAAACCCTAAGGAAGAGACTTGGGCAAAGGGCTTTTCTGCATAGGGAAGTTAAGTAAAGTTAAGTTAGGATGTGGATTCAAAACAAAATAGCACTTTCTGATTAGCTCCCTGCATGGACATTCTTATTCTGAAATACAAGTGCCTTATTCCAAATTAACATAATCCACTTTGAAAGCCGGCTATGGTCAAGACCAAAGAGCACATGTATCCAGACATTGTGGGTAGCCCTTGGCAACCTTCACAGTTGTCCTATCTTAATCCACTTTGAAAGTGGAGAAAGCTAATTCCAAATGAGGTGATCTTGTTCTGGAATTAAAAAGTCCACAAAGGGAACTAATCAGGAATAACTTCTTGTGTAGGCAAGCTGTAAAACTTTCAAAGCCCTAATGTGTGTCTGTTAGAAAATTGCATTTTATACAGTGTATGGTATCTGGTATCATAAGTAGCATAGTACTTCATACACCTTGCGTGTCACTCAACCATTCTGTTGTATTTTAATTGGGCTTCACTTGGCTTTGATATAATAAACTTCATAGAGTTACAGAATAGTCTGAACCCATGTAAAACAAGTTTTTGACATGCTGAAGAAACAGAGAACTTTTCTTTCTTCTGGATTCTGTGCTCATCTCATTTTCCCTATCCTGTGTTTTACCTTCATGCCAGTCCAGCAAACTTTTATATTTCTCATGCCCTTTAAAGAACATCTTGAAGTCCTCTTTATCTGCTAATGGCAGAGCTATACTGTTGTAGATGAGTATGCATGTTAAATTGGACAGCAAATTAATTCCAACTTCATTGTATATTTGCATAGCCCCTTTAGCAAGCATTAGAATTTCACTAAGAACTTTGTCCTTCATGAATTCATTGAGAGCTAAAAATCTGATTTTATTGGGGTTTTTTTTATTTATTTAAAACTTTCTCAGAAGGTAAGGTAAGTGTCAGAGGGCATATATAATGCACATATGGTGCCATTCACTCAGAAACCATCCAGTAGCCAGATTTTACCATCATAGTACTCAACATCAACCCAGGATTTTTATACAAATACATGTATTTAACCAATACACAAGAGTTCCTGGGTGTTAGCCTTCTATTGTAGGTGAAAACTGTTCAAACATTATCAAATATTTGTTTGTTTTTATTGTAGATCATGGTGATTGTCAACAGCCAAGGGATTTTTAAAAATAAATCTTATAAAGGAATTTCCAGTAAATTTAGTACTCCTGTTTTGTTGTTTTTTAATTGCATGCTCTCTTCTCCAAAAGTAAAATATTTCGAAGATCCTAATCTTTCCATAGTTACTAAACAGTAAACAAAAATGCAGTGTGTGTAGATATGTTTGAAATGTATCTGATGTTGTACAGTTAAAAATACTGTGTTCAGGAAACAAACTGTTTCCAAGAGATTTTCCTGTTGTGTAACTTCAGAGAGGCATAAAAGAGCCTCTCTGAAAATGGAGATGGCTAGACCTAGACCATACATGCAACCTTTATTGCCAGGTACCTTCAACAGCTGGGACTTCTTGGTGTTGTGCACCTGGAATTCCTATGCAGATTGAAAACTCAAAGGTTATATCTGGACCAGGAATTCTCCTGCTCTAAAATCCAGGAACTCCTGAGAGCTTTTCCTAGATGACCTTGGGGTAGACATTTAACCCCTCTGTGCTTCAGTGCCCAGACTGAGAACTAGGGATAACTTCACAAAGGTTTTGTGAAGAATAATAGTCAGCTTTTACATAACACTTTGAAGTTGGAAAGCACTGTGTACTGGTTAACTGCTGCCGATTACAAACCAGTCTTGCTTATTGTTTTTCCTCAGCGTGAGACCATGTGCCAAGATGATTTGTCCAGAATTTCTGAAACATAAGCTCTTTTGGTAATTGGGCTTCAGTAGCATTTGGGGGGGGGGGGGGGGGGGGGATCACTGCAGTTGTTCCTTACTCATTACATGATTCCAGTAGGAATCAACCTTACTTAGCTTACATAATCAATGTTTAATTAACGAGCACATGTCAAAACTGGCAACCATTAAATCATACAAAATTGCATGCATTTACTAGGATGGTGCAAGCACATTTCAGTAGCATCTTAAACCAGCTAGTGTGTGAAATCATCAGATAACACTTCCCATCCAAAGTGTTTATAATCCAAAGGAACAAAAAGGGTAAAGGAGAGGCGGATAAGCTACAAACCAGGTACAGGCAGTCCTCGAGTTACAACATTTCGCACTTACAACATTTATAAATTGACACCGTTTCAACTTTATGACGTCAGTTTTGACTTTACAATGCTTGGTCCGATCCAACGCCATGCCAGCGAACAAGTTCACTGCATCGCTCATCTCCCTGGAGAACATCTGTCCAAACTTCCTTGGGCACTTCCTTTAAGAAAGCAGACAAGACTCCAGGAAAACTTGTAGCCACAACTCCTGAGAAGAGTCCAGCCAAGAACTTCAAAAAGTCCAGCAAAGTCACCTCAAAGAAGTCCTTCCAAATCAATATGATTGCTATTTACAATATAAATACGCTACTTAGCTACATTACTCATCTATAATTGATCGAGTACAAAATTCTGAGGTATTTTTAGTGAAAATAGGGTATCAGGCCTTGGTTCAGGAACCAATCCCCCATTTATAAAACATTGTTTCTTATGAGAAAATTGGTTCCGAGTTACAACGTTTTGACTTAAGACGCGGTTTTCAGGAACCAATTGTGTCGTAAGTCTGAGGACTACTTGTACTCAGGAGGATGGTAGGTACACAGCATGAGTATTTCACTCTTTAAAATATATTTTATATTCTAACAGTGTTGTGAGTGTTTCTCTGGGAGACACTAGAAACTGAGACATGGGAGATGAGAGTTGGAAAGTGACTGGGAATGAAAGAAAGAAACAAAACAGAAAGGATGGAGGAGGAGAATCAATGGACAGAGCTCATGGGGAGAATCAATGGATAGGCGGCTGACAGGCTGCAAGTCAGAGGTGCAGAGTTAAGGTGGATGTTTAATAAAGATCAATAAAAAGCCCAGAGGCCAAGTTTCAGAACTGAGTGCATGATGTAAGAGCCTCTGAGCTGCTTCCCATGGAGAAGTGAGGTGAAGGAAGTCACTGGGCCTGTGGCCCCTTTTTCCCTCTGGTACCAGTGGTGGGAATTGATACTGGGATGAAAAGATCTTAATTAATCCTCTGCAGTCTCTGCTGTAGTTGATATTGGTTCTTTTGGAAGAGGAGACAGGAAGGTCTGGAGATTCCCATAGTTCAGCTCCTCATAGCTGCTGCTATGGTGCCCCATGTACATGCTTCTGAGCTGAAGACAGTGCCTGGCCTGGACAGCACATAGCTTTCGGGCTACAAACAAACATTGCCAAAAAAAGCAGGTCAGTTGCACCAAGGTGTGTCCCAGCATTGCTGGACAAAATGGATGTCACCTACTGTTCCACAGGGTCAGGCCTCGTGCTGCTCCTGGGAGCAGCTGGGGCTCAATCCTGTAGGACAACCCTTGGAGCATGCCTCTGCAAATCAGGGAATCCCAGGTTTCCCTACTAGCAGAGGAACATCCCAGAAATCCTTAGACACATGGGGAAACTTGGGGTTTCCCTGTTTACAGTGGTGTGTACCCCAAGTCAGATTTCCAGGTGCAGATCCCTGCAAACAGGGAAACTCCAGGCAGAAGCAACCAGGGCTTCAGGAATGGAAATTTCCAGGAAAGACAGAATCGAGCCCCCTGAGCACCTGCTCAGAGCAGCTGGGGACCACTATAATCTCCTTTCCCTGAAGCTGGATTCCCCAATTTACGCAGAGGCAGCAGAAAATGCATAAAAAGGATTGGACTACAAAAATCAGTTAATTCTGGAAATTCCTTATGACAGGAAATAGGAAAAAGACAGGCCAAGCAGGATATGCAGAAGATTGTAGATTTAAAAAAAAAAACATCAGGGGAGGAGGGTGCAGTATGTTGTGTCTGCCTGGCGGTATGTACTCAGCATTTGGGTAGACACCAGAGAAGTTCAAGGAGCACTGTAAGACTCTTCTCACTTCCTTTTTACAGTTACCTGGCATTTCCCTCCTGATTCTTCTGTGTCTGTACTCATTCCATGTTCACTCTGAAGAAAGGCAAAAGCAGGGAAGTCAGATTAAAGAGGCCAGCTATTTTAATTCCAACCCAAGGAGAAGCCATTCATGAAATGTCACAAGAAGCTAAAGTTTGGAATCTACCTTCTCCTAAAGACCCAGGGAGATGAAGCTTGTCAAAGTGTCCAGACTCAGAACAAAGTGCTAATGATAGGCCTCAGAGATGCTGAGAAAGAAAAAGAAATGAATGGAAAATGTTGGATAAAATTCAGTAAGATCACAGTAAGAAAATATGCTTTCTCAGCTCATCACTTTACATGTAAGGAGGAGGGTACAAGACTCTGAAGAGAGGAAACAGCCAGAAATTCAAGATATACTTTACTCTTTCAAGATTGGGAGAAAAATATATATATATCAAAGTTCAAAAGATCCTTCCCCACTTCTACCTCTGCCTGGAACTGCAGGATAGTAGATAGAGGACATGTTCCTCCTGGAATATGAGGCCCAGCAAAGTCATGGAGGTCAGACAGATCCACCTGCACAACAGCCATCTCTGTAGCAGCAGATGTACGTGTTCCCTCAAAAGGGGGTTCTTTTTAGGGCTGTGCAAAGCTTT